GCAGACAACAGCTATGCAACTGCTACCTATAAGTAAGTGAAAATGTAACACTCACATTTACCATCGCTAATGAACCATACATTTTGCGCAGATACCTTCAATATTGAGGAATTTCTATTGCAAGCTGCACACGCCGGCTCTGGAAGCCAGTTGGTCGTAGCCGAGTACCCGGACATAGTGCTGTCCGGTGATGCCACCATCTCACAGGTGTTAGCCACATTGCAGAATGCTGGGCACTCGTTGTCCACGCCCTGTCTCTCTTTGGATCTGGTACTGCAGCGCTCCATGGGCGATGAGGCTGCCGAGTCGAAGAAAATTAAGGCTGTTTGCACCGAACCATTGCCATCTCCGTTGCAGCGCTTCTCTAGCAGTGGTGGTCTATCTCTGTTAGCCCACTATTTGCCGACTGTGTATCCTGAGCACATGGGCCGCAAAGCTACTGCCGTAGCGGCCGAGAAGGAGAAGAGTCCACCACTCTCCGATTGGGTTAAGCTTGAGCCCAATGATGAGATCTACGAAGATCTGGAAGATACCATATGTGAGCCGACCACCAAACAGGTTACCGTTAGCTCTGTGCCCCAACATTCGCTAGCCGCTTTTGGCTTGTTTCTACGGCTGCCTGCCTACTCCGATGTCTTGCTCAAGGACAAACAGCGTGCGCAGTGCCTGCTGAGACTCGTGCTAGGCGTCACTGGTGACGGCGATGGCAGTAAGTAGAGATTCACGCCCATAATATTATATTTACTAAACTATTAAATTTGATTTACAGACGATATCTACAGCCTTTCGTTGGCGCCTTCGTTACCAACATTACCGTTTGAGGTATTCCGCCAGCTCCTTGACAGTGTGTCATTGTCCACGGATGACGGCGTACTATTGCGGCGTGTTGTCATCGAAGTGGGAGCCATGCATCTTGTGCTTAATTGTCTAGGAATCTTCTCACACCAGTCTCATAACAACAAAATTGGTGCATTGATAAGCGAACCGGGCTCAAGCGGAAACAGCAACGGGAACGGGAACGGTGCAGTAACTAAAAGCACTACAGCAGAAGAACCCATTCCAAGTACGGCAACGTCGGATGATAAGAGCCATATATACTGGGCTAAAGGCACTGGCTTCGGTACCGGCTCTACGACACAGTCATGGAACGTAGAACAGGCGCTAATGCGCCAGAAAAGTGAGGAAGAGCACGTGACGGTGCTCTTACTGGTGCTATCCAGTTATATCAACCCCGGTGATTGTATACCCAGCGAAATGCGTGGCGAGGATATACTTGCCTATCATGATGTACGCGACGTAACCGGGGAACTGCCGCCCATATTCCAGACTCTCCTGCAGCAGTCGTGTCTCATACCAGCGCTTAGCTCTTACCTGCGTAACGACTCTGTTTTGGACATAACACGACACATTCCCCTTTATCGTGCCATTTTAAAACTACTGCGTGCACTTTCTCTGTCTAAGAATTTAGTTTCCTTGCTGCAGCCGAGTGTTAACGGAGATTGTACCCCACCAATTTCGGAGCTTCTAAAGAACATGAAGACCTGCGTCGACACATATGCCAAACGGCTCAAGTGAGTGTGGCATCGGTGAAAGACAAGTATAGCCGTCTAAAATGTATTTCATTGGTTACAGAGTCAACAAGAAGTCAAACATCAAGGGCCAAACGCACCAGCTGACTTTCAATATTGATGATGGCGACGACGAGGGCCTCGCACTGCTCATACCGGATATACACGAGACTTGTGTTCTGGTGCAGAAGACGACTGATGCAGATGCAATGATCAACATGTTGCAGGCACATGAGGATGGCATGGGTTCGATAGAACGCCCAATGAGCAAGTCAGTTGAGCAGCGCTATCTGGAGTTGATGAAGAAGCGCCAGTTCGATACATACGATATGATTGTGGAATCGGACAACAACAGCTTTCGATTTGTGGTATCGCATCATTTTGAGAAAATGGTGCGTCTCGCCGGAGATCGATATCATCCCTCACGTGTCAAGCGTTTGGCTCAAGAAGCAGTCACGCTCTCCACTAGTCTGCCACTGAGCTTTAGTAGCTCTGTATTTGTGCGCTGTGATACGGATAGATTGGACATCATGAAGGTAGGATATATAATAGTCTTATTGTGAATAGTCAATTTATGAAAGGATTGTTTCTTAGGTGCTTATAACTGGTCCAGCAGACACGCCATATGCCAATGGCTGTTTCGAGTTTGATGTATTCTTTCCACCGGACTATCCCAACTTGCCCATGCTTATCAATCTTGAGACCACGGGTCGTCACTCGGTACGCTTCAACCCCAATCTATACAATGATGGCAAGGTGTGTCTGTCCGTGCTAAACACCTGGCACGGAAGGCCCGAGGAGAAATGGAATGCACAAACCTCCAGTTTCCTGCAGGTTCTCGTGTCCATTCAATCCTTGATCCTTGTTCCTGAGCCGTACTTCAATGAACCGGGCTTTGAACGCAGTCGGGGCACACCCAGCGGCACGAACTCATCGCGCGAGTATAATAGCAACATCTATCAGGCGTGCGTGCGTTGGGCAATGCTGGAGCAAATTCGCAACCCGAGTCCATGCTTCACAGATGTAAGGTTTACTATTTAATATCACTTGTTCCCAATTAAGCTATACACATTATTTGTAGGTGATCCACAAACACTTTTGGCTCAAGCGCGAAGAGATTTGCACCCAAATCGAGGGCTGGATTGAGGAGCTAAGTAAGCCACAGTATACTGAGCGTGCTAGTCGCACTATATCGTTTAATTCGATGGTATTGCGCCGGCACTATCGGCATCTACGAGAGGAACTCGCCAAGCTTAAGCCTCCGCGTGGCCTGGAAGATTTAGATGCACCCTTTAATCCGGTAGCCACGTTGCCACCTATGGATGTGTCCACAACAACGACAGCTACCCCAACGACAAATGCACAAGTGGGCACAGAAGACTCACTGGTGCCAGAGCTGAATCTAATGGTTGACAACGGGGACAGCGATATGCCTATGCCAGCTGACTACTTCAAGGATATGAAGGAAGAAGGTTTACTGACAGGCGAAGAGGAAGTGGTCGAAATTTTAAGTGATACGGAAAATGAGAGCAGCGTGTGGCAAGATAAAGAGGAGGACACACCATGAATTGCTCCTGAATGCCGCTTGCCTGTGCGCACTAGACAGTTTTATTTATCGTTTTAATTATTGTTTAATGCTCTTTTGTTTTTATAATTTTGTAAGAGAGACTGCAACTGCAACAGAACTTGGTGTGCTTTACATGAAGAAAATCTAATAATTAATGTTATCGATGGAGATCCCTTTGAAGAATTAGTTACAAATATATAAATACATATTAATCAAAGTTCCATATGAAATCACCTTCACAAATGCATATTAACAATAAATCTTTTTCACTAAACATAGCCTAACACCGTCAAAAAACCTATCGCGACTTATATAAATGTTTCATCAAATGGATCTATTGGTATATATATAATATATATATTTATATTATGAAAATAACCATATGTGTATAGCATAAAATATCACAACTTTAACAACACCACCAAAACTAAATTAATGTGTATTAAACTATGAATGTAATGCTTTAGTTAAATATTTACAAACAAAATATGCAGTTACTTTTACAATTGAAATAAATTTTGTTTCTCCAAGAATAAACTAGTTAATTGACTATTAGAATTGGCAGTCATCAATCATATTTAATGATTCCGACGTCGACAGGAGTGGGACCCACTTTTTTGGCCAACTCTCAGCACCGCCACTTTTCTACTTGATCACTAGGTAGCAAATCAAAACTAATCTGGCAGCTGGCGAGTCGAACACAGTTCAATCGCAATTGCAATTCTTAGAAAAGCAAAGAATGCACGCATTTGGATGTATGTGTGCATTGGCACATACATACATAAAGAGTAAACGATCGACGCTGCTTTCGAAGTGCTCTTGCTAATTGGCTAAACGTTTTGTTTAACAAATTCTGTGTTTTTTAACGAATTTCAATCAAACTGTTAGCAAATACTGTTCATACACTATTGATAATTTGTAAATTGAAAACACCTATAACTGTATTTTAATGAAGTTTTAATCGAATGGTAATAATATGGATCTTTGGAAACAAACTGGATCTGTGCGTGCTGTAGGATCTGCCATTTATACATATATAATTTAACTTGTTAAATAAATTTAAAAAAAAATTAGAAAAACGTTATACCCTCCCTGATTCCCATATTCGATGTGTGTAAAGTATACAAATGTATTTTTTGTAAAATTTAAGCTAATTTCCACCCTTCTATCAATTAGTACAGTTTTGGTACTCGAGTCTCATTACGTAGCCATGCTATAAAAACAGGCCCTAACTCAGACTAATATAGTAACTAATTCACATCAATAAATTGCAAAGTAAACTTTAAATTCTTTTCTCTCTGTTTGATATTAGCGGGCCAGATCAAAACTAACCGTGTGGCCATGATATTAGTATGGAAAGGTAACGTTTTTTCAAAGTAAATGAACTTGGTACTTTTTTCCAAATGCTGCCATATACGTGATAGGTTTATAGACGTTAACATCTGCATACATATTTGAGGCCTATGATTGTTTGCTTTGCCCAACGACTTTGTTAATCAAGCGAAAGATATAATATTGTTTATCAAGCCCGTTGGGTCATATCTATATGGCAATCTTTTCGACACTTTTACAGGGTAGCAACGATTTTATCTTTTCCCTACACAAACAATAAATAACTTGTATAAGAGTAAAATCAGAAGAGTAAGAAAATATTCTCAAAAAACCTCTTGATTGTCAATACAATTAATGTATTATTATTGATT